CAAACTCATATTATTTTGTAAGTGACAAACTAATATTGTTTTCTTACAAAATCATATGAACTTCAATCTAAAGTTTTTTTGTAAAAAAAAACGATAGAAGGTTTTTGTTTTCTTTTTTTTGTAATTCCACTCATAAACTAAAATTGTAGTGCTAGATTTCATACTAATGGTTTCATGTTTATAGGATTTAATATAAAAAAATTGTTTTATTTATAGTTTTTTTCTTCTATATTTCACTCAATTTAAGTATGAGTGATAGGTTTCATTCTAATGATATCTTTCCTTCTAATTTTCTACTACTAAATAAAATGGGGCTTTTTCAATACCACTTTTCAAAAATGCCCATTCTTTAAAACCTTATAAAAAATGCTCTTTAAAATATAAGATTTACCCAAATATGTATGTAACATTATTAAAACATACACAAACTACATTTCTATGTATCTAAAATCTTATAAATACTTTATAAATAACTTATAAATGCATTTAAATACCTTTAAAAACCTTTAAAATATTTTGTAAAACCTTTGAAAAACTTTAAAAATCTTTTAAAATAACTTGTAAAACCTTTAAAACACCTTATAAAACCTTATAAATACTTGGATCGAGTTTTCAAGTAGTAGTTACAATCCATAAGTACCTTATAAACCTAATAAAACTTTATAAAAATTTTAGATTTAAAAAGGGGCATTTTTTAAAAATAGACATCTAAAAGGGGCATTTTTGAAAAAGGGCACACCAAAAGGAGCATTTTTAACAATTTCCCAAATAAAATTTTCATTACCCATATGAATTCATATTTTTTTTTTATCGTAAGAAATAAATTTTTCTTAAAAAAGATATTTTTGTTTTGAAAAACACTTAAACCTCAAATTTTAAACAAAATAAACATTATAATAATCTTAATATAATTATCTATTGGATCAGAAAAATAAATATAATGATACATCTATTAAAAATTAATTACAAAATTTATTCTAGATAAGAAAGAGGTAAGAAAAAAATATTTGATAAATTTATTATTTGATAAATGTATTAGAATAATTTATTTCATTATATGTTGCATAACTAAAAAATACATAAATATGTTAGAAAATAATCAAATATCCAACGTAAATAATGGAGATGGACCTTTTCAACTTCATTCTCTTGTTGTGCGATGATTACAATTGATATTTTTAAATTTCCATCACCAATAAACCTAAAATTTTAGTTATAGCCATCGAAACTTTTATTTTGCATATGTTAATTCAAAATTAAAAATAGAAAATTCAAAGAAGAAATATGTATAATCTAGTATGGTGTTAGGAACAAAAAATTGAAAAAAAAATTAGAATCAAATTATGACAATGATGTTTTCACTGATTTCAACCCATAGAACAAAAAAATAGATACATAAATATAGTATAAAAGGATCAAAGAATGATTACTTATAAGATGACAATCTAAAATAGACAATGGAGATGAATCTTAAAAAAAAATCAAAAAACTAATGTAGAAATTAAAATTTAGAATTGAGCTTTTACAACAACAACCACAACCAAAATAAAAAGCACAAAACAATTAAAAAAATTGAGATATAGAGGAAGAGGATGAGAGAATGAAAAAAAAATGAGAAAATGAGTATTTATAGTATGAGAAGTGATAGGAGTTACAATTCAAAATAAGAGAAATTGTTAAAAATGCCCCTTTTGGTGTGCCCCTTTTCAAAAATGCCCCCTGTAGATGTCCATTTTAAAAAATGCCCCTTTTTAAATCTGAAATTTTTATAAAGTTTTATTAGGTTTATAAGGTACTTATGGATTGTAACTAATACTTGAAGACTCGATCCAAGTATTTATAAGGTTTTATAAGAGCATCAGCAGTGGCACAAGCATGTGGGTGTGAGTCTTGGGGTGTAAGTATTAAAAAAACGAAAAAATTGTCTCTCTCTTCACACCCGGGTGTAAGTTTACACTCGGGTGTAACACTTTTTCTCTCTATCTCTCTCTTTCTTTCTCTTTCTCTTTTCTCTTTTGCTTTAAATTATAATACTAAAAAAATACTTACACCCACACAAACACATTTGCCACTGCTGATGGTCTAAGGTGTTTTTAAAGGTTTTACAGGTTATTTAAAAGGATTTTAAAGGTTTTTCAAAGGTTTTACAAGATATTTTAAAGGTTTTTAAAGGTATTTAAAATGCATTTATAAGGTATTTATAAAGTATTTATAAGATTTTAGATACATAGAAATGTAGTTTGTGTATGTTTTAATAATGTTACATACATATTTGGGTAAATCTTATATTTTTAATAGCATTTTTTATAAGGTTTTAAAGAAGGGGCATTTTTGAAAAGTGGCATTGAAAAAGGGGCATTTTTGCAAAAGCCCAAATAAATATCGGATTTACAATTCTAATTGATTTTATGTTGAATAAAATTGAGTGGAGAGTATAGTTGATGCATATTTTTTTATGATTTCAGTTTTATATTAAAGTGTGAGTTAATTGTATATAACTAAATGTGTTTTATTTGTGGTTTAAATAAAAATAATTTTTAAAAAATCTATATTGTCAAGTGGATCAATAAACAGAGAGTGAAACTTTACTTTTATATATATGATGATACTTGGAATTTTGATGGTAACAAAGAATTAATGAAGTAATATTTTCAATTTCACTCGAATTTTCGTACCAAATGATTGTAGCCCAAACTATATATAACAAATGTTGGAGTCCCTCTTGCTTCATTTCCGTTTCTCTTCATTATATATGTTTATCCGTCGGTTTTGTTCACAAACAGTGTTTCTAAATTTCTTTTAACTTCATACCCGTTATATAAAAATAATATTTATTTGTTATACAAAGACCCGACTTAGGGGCAGTGCTGACAGTGCAATAGCACTGGGTCCCATATTGTTTTTAGTTTTTTTCTAGGATTTAAGAGTCTCAAATTTTAAAAAATTAGCAAAGAGAACCCTAAATTTTAATATCATGAACATTTCAAAATAAAAATTAACTCACCACAAAGTCTAATATTTTCTTGAGCCGGCCACCGGTTTAAAAGACTTTCAATCCTTAAGCCTAGTTTTCAAGTGAAAACCCACATAAAAAATGGAGTAATATAAGTTAGTAAGAAGTAGTAGCTTTAGGCAGCCCAGCAGCCCAATTTTCGAATCAATAGTTGGAAAGTTTACATGTGGGCCAATTCACTGAGAAACCATATTTGAAGCGTCGAGTTTGATGGTGATTAGCTGGTGGTCATCATCAGCCGTTAGAAATGACTTTCTAATACTTTTTTTTAATCATCCCAGTGTAGATTTTGTATGAAAAAACCCGAAAAAATCACTATTTATTTTTATTTTGTTCGTATAATACATGTAATCTTTAAATTAGAATAAAAATACTTTATTTATTTAATATTATCTTTGAAAATATTATGTTATAAACGGTTAGTAAATTCTTATTCACGATTTAATAATCGTTAACATAGATGATAAAATCATTTAATGGTATTAAATTTTAATCCAATGTGTCTAAATATATATATATATACGAATCGAACCCCACGTCTTGAGGCTTATAAAGTAAACATACATTACCACTAGACCATATTAATATAGCTGTCTAATTTGATAAACAGATCGTATATATAATATATATATATATATATATATATATATTTAGACACGTTGGATTGAAATTTAATGCCGTTAAATGATTTCTAACCCATGTTAACGGCTGTTAACTCGTAAGTAAGAAACCATCAATCATTTATAACATGAATTCTTTTAAAGACAATATTAAATAAACGAGGTATTTTTATTCTAATTTAAAAAGTACATGTATTAAACGGCGAAAATAAAAATAGATAGCGGTTTTTTGGGTTTTTTCTCATTCATATATAAATAGTGTGTGTGTTTTTCACAAAAAATATGTGAAGGGTTGGGTTCAAAGCATATATTCTCCAAAGAAACCAGAATTCGTCATCTCTTCCATTTTTGTAGGATACATATCTAATTTCTTTATATATGATCCGTATTAGCCATAAAAAATAATTGGATATCCGTTTTTCTTAAATATTTGTGGATATCGAATTTTCTCTATTTAAACAAAAAATTGAAAAATACCATAAATTTGTAATAAAAAAATTAATAATAGAGAAATACCCTAAAATACAACTAAACTAAGTTTTTATTCAAAATTTACCAAGTTATTTTTTCAACTATACCACTGCAACCATTTTTGTCCAAAAATACCACAAAAACTTTTATAACCAAACCGCTTTGAGACATCACTCTCCCCAATTCAGTAAAAACCAGAATATAACAAGCCCAAGATATAAACACTCTCAGAAGAATCAGCCGAAACCTGAGACTCAAGCCTAAAAATGGGTTCTCAATGCTTTGAAATTCTGATTTAAAAAGTTTGGGCTTAGAGTTTAGGATTTAGTTTTGAAGGTTTAAAAATTTAGTTTTACTTTTGTGGTATTTTAAAATATTTTTAATGGTAATACTTTGAAAAAAAAAGTAGTGGTATTATTTTTGGAACACAAACATAATTTAATAATATTTCGAAGAATTAGTTTTTTTAATATGAACTAGCAAGTGAAAAAGCGAAATCATTTTTCTTTTCTATCAACTTTTGGTAAATTTTGGTTAGAGTTTACTTCTAACTTCTTAATATCAAAATATTGTTAGTGGTATATTTTCAAACTATAGTAATGTACTATTATTTATATTTCGTCTAGATAAATCTTCTTATAAGTTTTCAAGTTTTGAATAGTAAATGGAAATAGTTCTAAACAATAATTTACCAGCCCTAAATAAGATATATATATGGCAATCTATACAAGTGGACCAAAGTCCGACGTATATTATACTCCCTCTGTTTCGTTTTAGTTGTCGTTTAAAGTTTTTCACACAAATTAAGAAAAACATTAAATTTTCTGTTTTACCCTTTATTAATATATTTTATAAAAAATTTCATTGGCCAAAACATTAGAACAGTAAGGATAAAACTGGAATTTTCACCAAACATTTGCATTGAAAACCTAAAACGACAACTATTATAAAACAAAATTTAAATTTTAAAACGATAACTAAATTGAAACGGATAGAGTATTTGTTTATTATGTGTATATATATTTATGTTGTAAAAATTCAACACTCTATCCTTTCACATTCAGCACATCCCCACTAGAGAAAGAAAGAGATATCTGTCTCTCTCTCTCTCGTTTTCGCTTTCAGATTGAGTTTGACTCTTCGCCAGCCACCGCCTCCTCTCTCTCTCTCTCCATCAATGGCGACACCATACCTCTCCCTTCTACCTCTTTAAGTAAAAACCCTTTTTTGCTCTCTCTTTCTCTTTCTCCTCTCCAATACGCTTCATTTCTCAAAACCCTAGATTCACCAACAAAACCTTAACTTCTCTTCTTCTTGTCTTTATGTTCTTGTTTCTTTCATGTCCATATGGATTCTGGTAACAGTGGAAGCTTGCAATCTTCAAGCGATGACCATGAGTCTTCCTCAACTGGTGCTCCACCAGATCACTCCTCTTTCTTCCTCCCTCCTTTCCAACAACCACCGTCTTCCTCCACCTTCTACGGCGACCCAACAACCCTCTCCTCTTCCTCCTCCTCCTCCGCTACTTATCTAAACTTTGTCAACAATCTCATCTCCGATGACATTCTTAACCAAACTCATCTCCTCCCTCCTCCTCCTCCACCACCACCTCCTCCTCCTCCCTCTTCTTCCCGAAACCCTAGAAAACGAACAAGAGCTTCAAGAAGAGCTCCTACCACTGTTCTCACCACCGACACTTCTAACTTCAGAGCTATGGTTCAAGAATTCACCGGCGTCCCTGCCTCTCCCTTCTCTCATCCTTTCTCCTCCACTACTCGCCGCTTCGATATTTTCCGATCTCCCTCCGATCCTCTTACTTACAACCCTTTTCGTCCAATCCCTCAAAAACCTCATCATCAACCTTTGAATCCTTCATCTTCTTTTTTTCTCCACCATCATCACCACACAACTACTTCCATGACCTTTCCTGATCTGCCTCTCCCTCAAAATCACCAAGTTTCTACATTTCAATCTCTTTTATCTCATCAACATCATCATCAAACAACACTTTCCTCTCTTCACGACCTTGACACAATAAATCTCGGAGCATTACAACAAACTCACCATCCAACGCCTGATGATAACCACCAGCTAATGATGAGGCAGTTCTCGGATTTTGATCGCCGGCCGGAAAAGGCACCGGAGATTCATAATAATATCTCCTCTTCTTCAGCTCCGATCAAAGGCTCATCAGGTACTACTACTACTACAACAACAACAGTTGATCCCTGGATTAGCCCTACAGATTCCAATAATTAGATACATTATTTTTTTTGATAATTGAAACCATATCTTACAATGTTTAAATCTAGTAATATCTTAAAATCAGATTGTAGTCACTGAGATTGAATTATATTATCAGAATTTTTTTTTGTGAATGATATATTCCATCGAAATATTTATTCTCATGTCTAGTGATTATACTCTGTCTACACGTTACGATGACCCATAATGGGGTATATGATTCTCTCCACATGTTGTATGTAATAATGTAAGTATCTATTTATATGTTTATACGTTACAAATTTGGCTCTTAGGTCTTGAAGAGAATCTAATTCGGATTTTGTTCGTTGATCTACAAGGACAGTTCACACGTGTTATGTGCTTTGTTCCATCGTTACTTTGACATATTTTCCCTCTATATATTATAGGTTTTGTAGTCTATCTAATGTTCCGGCAACTTTTATTAACTACTCTCCATCCCTGTCTGTACGAAATAGAAAACTAGGTCTTAGTATTTGTCGTCTATTTTTCCACGTTTTTTTTTTTTTTTTAAAGAATTTTCGATGTAATTAAGAAATTCAAAAATACACACATATTACGTATACATGTTTTTTTATATAATGTAATATATAAATATCTGTTACATAGGAAACTACTACAAAATGAGATGTTTTCGTGAAATAATTTAGACATCTTGTTTTATGTGACTCATTTCAACGTTGAAAGTTGTGGCTCACCTTATTATTACTGCCAAAACATTTGCGGACAATGTATATTGAAGCTTGGGATGTTCAAAATGGATTTCATTTTCTTTTTTTTTTGGCTTTTTTTTTTTGGCTTTTCAGTATATTATTAACTTTTTTTAACTAAAGATAATTTAATTTAAAATAAAGAAATTAAGTTTAACATTGTCTTTACTTTTGGTCAGGATTCAGTTTCTTAAGATATAGAAAAATGAATTCATTTGAACTATACTAAAGTACAGTTTAGTTTTTGGATTTGTTATTTTAGTTCAATATTCAGATTGGGTTAGTTTGTCCGGATTGAACATCTTCTACTAATTATGATATTTTGTAAAAAAATGTAATGGATTTTTTCATTAACATTACTTAATTTATCTGAATATATATCACTTTAGAAACTTATATCAGGGTGTTGAATGTTTTCAATAGGTCTCTAAAATGGTATAACATTTGCATCTTTGTAATAATATTCTACTTATAGTTGGTACGGGAATGATTTGATGAGTACTAAGTTTTCGGGAAACTTTCTTCAATCACTAGATTAAACACTATAATATTCTTTTTAACTATTTAAATTTGAATATTCTGAGATGGATAATTTACTAATTACTCTCGATCGGGTTACATCACTCACAACTTCATAAACATTACTCTAGCTTCCGTAGAGGGGACGAAGTCGTGCCATACATAAAAACGAACAGTAAACATTTACTGCTTATTTAAAATATCAATAGTTAAGTTTATATATATGTGTGTGTGTGTGTGTGTGTTTTTCTACACTACGATTAACAAACTCATCGAAATTTATTTACAGAAATTGTAATGTGTAACATTTCTATATATTACCGGAATTTAAAAAATTTTAAGATAAGAGTTCTTAACCAGTGCAAAAAAAAGGGTGTTCTTATCAATGACATGCCAAAATAAATCAACTTAACATATCTCTTTACCTAGAAAGTTTGTATTTTACACAATTTAATAACCAAATTTTGGTCTAACGCCAGATTTAGATTTCTAGAAAAATATTAACATATTAATCCACTTTAGCACCCATTTGATCACATATCAAAAGTCAAACCTATTAAAAAGCGGTGTTTAGGTTAAAAAAATAGTATATCAACTCGGTGTAATTCATTAGGTAATTTGTCCCTTTCTATTACAAATTTTACCTTCTTTCTTTTTGTTGCAATTTAGACTTACGTTATACACAATTAAATATATAGAACTAAGTAAACGCTTAATAGAAACTAACAACATATGAATCGTCCCCTAATAATTATAGCTTGTATCTAAGATACTCGTTGTCTTTGAGGTTTTGTGGCTGAGATGAGAAATCATCTCTTTCCTAAGTAACTGCCGTACCTCTTTTTTCTTAATATTGAAGTTAAATATTTTTGAAAGTTAATCTCCAGAATCTGTGAAAATTTATATATTTCTTTTTCATTCAAACGTACATAATATCCAGCTCTAATATCCATATTCTAATTCTTAATGATGCCACTTTTTTCCCTTGAAATTATGTTAGAAACTCAATTTTTTTTTTTTTTTTTTTTAGGGTTATGGGTATTCTGCTTCAAATATTAAGCTATGAGTGAATAAATTTAAAGGTAAAAGTTCATTGCATATACTTTACTAACCTCTCATGAAGCAAATCTTCTAAAACATTGATTGCCTTTTGAGGATATATTAGGGTGCTGGTAAGTCATTCCACACGGCGTTTTGTTTTTTTTTTTTTTTTAGGTGCATGATATGTTAGGTAACTTGCTTAAACCCTTTTGTAATTTAGTTCTTAAGAAAATTTAGAAATGATAAATTATTTAAAAATAAAGAGTGTATAGTAGAAAGTGTTCACAAGCCTATACATGTTAGAGAAGAATGGTCAACTTTCTTTTCTTTGATAAAGGTCAATGGACAAATAGAGTCATCGCTCTATATACATGAAATTGAAAAGTATAAGAAGTTTGAATATTTCTTTTGATTAATTTGGTGAAACGGTCTTTTTAATGTCATTATTGACCAGGGAAGACGGTCGTAATACGTAAGTTTGGTTAATTAACACTAAACAAAACATAACATCTCAGAATAGATTTAGACTCAATAATATACATTACATACTATACATATACATATGCATTTTGGAAAACAATGATGAGAAAATGGCCGGGAGATCAAGTTGGATAGATATTGAGGGCACGATGAAGATATAATAATCATAAGCATTTGAGGTGATTTATGTCTCTTTCTTATTTGGAATCATTTGAAATGGCCCACGCCAGAGAATATTATTATTTCTAGTAATTATGAGCATATATTCATTTCATTTCGATACGACATCTCCAAAACAGGTTTACATGCACAGAAAACATCTTCTCATCTACATGTATGTAGCGTATATTTATATTGTACATGTTAATCTAATCAGAGCTTGTTTAATAAAAAAGGAATCTATAATTTGAGACCAATCGCCAACAGCTCAAGTACGTAGAACTAAGAATCAAGAGTGTGATAAGTCTCAAGTTTCGTACCTTAATTTAGTGGGAAGCCTATTTCGTTGACAATAAAAGTACAACTTAAAATGTTCGTTTGTCTAAGTTTTACGACGACGACCATCTAGAGAGATAAGTAGTTGATATTGTAGGAGGGAATGGTGAAGAGTAACATTAATTTTTCTTACGGAGTTACGGTTATGCTTTTAATTCTATCTTTTTCAATGAGACATTTGCTATCTCCCTCAGCTCCTTTCATCTCAAATTAAAGTTGTCTCAGCTCGTGCTAGATCCTGGGTCGACCCGGGAGGAAACATTGAGCTTTTACATTAGTTTCGGTAAGCCTATGTACGGGCGTGTCATTTGATGGGGGTCTTAAAGACCCGGTCTTTACAACGAAGCCTTATGGAGATTGTGTAACTTTTTTAATCCTCTTGCTTTCAATAGAAAAAAAAAAAACATTTTATCAGAAAAACAAAGGTTTTGGAAAAGAAAACCGTCTAAATACACATTTTCAAATTCATTCTATTGTAAATAAATTATGGAACTCTTTTACCAGAAAAATAAAATTAAATAAAATATGGAACTCTAGAAAGCCAAATATTTCGATCTCAGACTTAAAGTCTTTTTTTTTTGTCAACAACTTGATTAGATTAGCTTAAAATTGTCAATTCCGGAGAACTTTGTTTACATAGATGATTAGATGTGGTTGGGTACGAACATTTCGTGCCAAATTATCCGCTTTTGTATTCGTCAAGAAATCAAAGATAAAAATAAAAAATCAAAGTCATCCGTGTCGCTCTGAATAGCCTCTAGATAAGAAGATAAAGCTAGCTACTCCGTCGGGGAAGTCTCTAGATCTCACACTTAAAATCGACCTTAATTTTTATTTAAATGTAAAATTTATTGATGGATAAAAATAATAATATTTACAATGAAAGAAAGGAAATATAGACAGAAAATCTAAATGTGTGATAAGTTCTTCGGCTAAACCACCATTGAAAAGCGAACACTGTATGAATTGGTTTCGTTGACAAAGTGAGCTGATGATATGGTTTTGTATGCTATTAGTTATGGCTTGAAGGTGACGATGTTGCTGATGCCGTCTTCTGTGTTACTCGCGCCACATACGGTAGATAGTCACTTGCAAAGCTAGATGAATCGAGATATAGTCTAAGGCATGGAAACAGCATGTTCAATTTTTCTTTTTTCTTAATGCATGTAATATAGATGGTATTCTATATAAGATAGATATTTTGATCTCTAGCAATCAACCTACTTAATCCCGTTACCCCTAAGAACCTTTTCATATTACTAAAACTCCACCATTTGTGATAGTTTTCTTTATTGCTTTCAATTAATAAACCTCACTCAAACAATCTTATTTGTATTTGTTGTACTAACTTTTGACTTATTTTGCCTCATTCGACTAACTTTTTCCTTTGACCCAAAAACTTTTGTTCACTCTTCCTATAGACTTTCTAAGCATATGGAGCCATGCAATTATCTCTTAGCAAGTGTCTGGCTAACCACACATGTTACATGTCATTGGCATGCTTGTTTGTCCATCATCTGTCAGTTCTTAGCATACGTCGAGCTAAGATCTCGATTCAGCTAGCTTGAGTGCTTTAACATCATACTTCCCATCTAGAACTTACATCATTTTAGTTTTGTGTATGACTCCCCTAGTTCTTTTGACCGATACACAAACCACCCTAGCATGTGTCTCAGCTAGTGATCTTTTATCACTTTTGTGGACTTTTTCTTCACTTAGGATATATAACATTTCTCGACCTTTTCTCTGTTTTTTTTTTTTCTCAATGTCAATGCCAACCTAAACAACTAGTTAATATTTTCAATGAGTTCAATGCATTTTTCCACAAACAGAACATTCAAAACTTACATGCATGTTTCAACTTAAGAAGG